GAAAGAGTGGAGGCCCAAACGGGAAGTCAAACGAGCTTAATCCGAGACGTAGAAATCCACTAGAGGTCAAATGGGTCGGGATAATCCGATGAACCCTAACCAGATTGATCGGTGAATTTGGTCACTGCAAGGGAATCTAGCCTTCGCTATGACTCTCCGGCGCTTACAATGGCGGGAAGTGAGTCCTCTTTTTCGCGGGATCGTAGGGAATGCCCCGAAAAGAGAAAAACTTTACCAAAATAAAACGAAAAATAGAAAATTTTAAAAGGTCACAAGTTTCTCTTCCTCGAAGAAAATCATCCAAAAAGAAAGTGAACAAGAGAAGAAGAGTGGAAACCAAATGGTGGAATCTGAAAAACACGAAGAACAAACACAAGAGCGAACTGTAATAAATCTCCAATGCAGTCAGATCGGAGCACTTAAGAGGCATTTCATCGAGCAAGCAAATTGAGAATACAAAACTTCACTGTTATTATTGGATCTAGAGGTCAATATATTTAATGAAGAACAAATGGCCGTCTTAGCTCAGCGGTAGAGCGCATGGCTTTTAACCATGTGGCCGTGGGTTCGATCCCCACAGACGGCGAATCAAGTTTTAATTTTTTTTTATTTCATTACAATAATATATTTGTGGTCGCATTCATGTTCATGCCGCTAACGTCGTCACCACTTACATATTGTTGTTTCTCTCAACATTTGGTCTCCAGCGATACCATACCACCACCATGAAACTCGAAGAAGAATCCAAAAACACAGTTTCTCATCATCATCACCAGCAAGTAAGTGCAGCAGCTCTCCTGTCTGAAACAATTTAAGACCCTCAGAAACGAGCTTCCAATCCATTTTGGTGAATGGATGGAATCTTCAATTCGATAATTAAAAACACCACCGCTACATGCTTGTTTATGATGTAGATTCATTCCACCGCACGAAAAAAAAACAATCTTGGGAAAGAAGTGAGATTTCTTGGAAACATTTTAAAAGATCTATCCAAATTTGGTGCATATCCGATCATGCTTTTATCTCGGGTTTAAATATAAATATAGAAAAAAAAATGTTTAGACAAATAAGAATTTATCTCGGATAACGACTGAATGCAGGGTTGAAGATTAGTTGGGCTTAGATATATATTTTCAAGGAAGTTTTGAATTTTTAAATTTAGTTACAAGTTCGTATATTTTTATATGCACACTCTCCCTTCTCTCTCTATTTCTAGGTTTATGTTTCTTTTGTTTCTGCCCAGACAAAAATTCGAATCTTGTCTTTTTGGCCTTCTAACAACGACCGATGTGATTAAATACATATTTATAGATATATATTTTCAAGGAGATTTTATTACGTATTTAGCCAAGACTCCACGACGAGAAATCCACGAAAAGACTGGTGGGGGGTCACCCGTGAACCGCGACGACTTTTGTAAGGGAATTTTACTAAAATGACCCACTTGGGTCGCACCTATTTCACATGTACACCAGAAAAAACATAACACTTTTTTTTATTGAAAAGACGAAATTACCCTTAATGAATACGCGATTTTTATCCGTTCGAAAACAACTTCGTTATTACGACTTCGTAATTAATTCTAAATATAGTTACAATTGATTCTAAAAAAGGTGACAAAAAAATCATCTGTCTTATTTTAGTTGTATATCAGTTATATGTTAGTCGTAATAAGGTCGCAAAAAATAAAACGAAAAGGGTATTTCAGACTTTTCCAACCGAAAAGTGGGTTAAAATTGAAAATTTTTTTTTCGGTGGTATACACTGAAATTGCTGCGACCCAAGTGGGTTATTTGAGTAATATTCCCCTTTTGTAACCGTCGCAATAACGTCATCAACCAAAAAACTTTAAACGAAGAAATTTCTGCAGATTTGAATAGTGGGTCAACCATAATAAGAACAAAGAAACAAATAGACTTCTAGAGATCAGCGTGTTTAATTCCCCCTTGTGAATATTGTGTTCCAATGGGAGATAAATCGAGATTTATGTATAGTTAATGGACAGATGAGCAAATGCTTACCGAATTCAGTGAATGTGCAATTGCAAATCAAAAGAACGATCCTTAACTTCCCAAACCGAATTCAGTGTATCATATTTGTTTCCATTATAACTATATTTATTTTTTATTTTATTTGTTAATTTTTTTATATATAGGTGAATCATTTTTATTGTACTAAAAATAAGAAGAAGAAGAGGAGATGGAGCGATAATCATGTTATTTATTTTTTATTTAATTTCTGTCTATATTTCTACACAATATGGAATATTAGAAAGGATGCGCAAAGTGGTTCTTTTCCACAAGACTCCGAATTTCATGGGTCGTGCAATTTCACAAAATATATATAAATAATATTTTTTTATTTTTTAGATTTGATTATTATTAATTTTGAAGGTCTACAATTTCTTTTCTCTTCAGTATATAAACGTGTGATTTTGTATCTTCATTTTACATTGAAAATATTAGTCGATATCAGTAGGAATTTGTGTGATTTGGTGTTGACAGTGAGAAAATGATAGAAATGACCAAGAGAATAGATGAAATGAAGAGTTATTTTACTTTATAATATTTTACATTAGCAAATATAGATAATATATGTTTGACAAAAAAAAAATAGATAATATATAGAGTAATATTATATAACGACTAAGGAGAAAATAAAAAAAAAAAGTGCATGACACAAGATGCTCCATCAAATCTTTAATCAAACGGCTATAGAGAGATATGGTAAGTTTTTGTCCATGATTTGGTTGTTAATTGATTGACAATTAGGTCTTGTTTTCATTTTTTTCATCCTTCTATATTTGTGCATATAATCCGTTCTCTCCATGTTTCACTTGTGCCATGTCATTGTCGTACGATCCAACTTTATATATATATATATATATATATATATATATAAATTTTCGAAATTAGTTTTGATTATTACTTATGATTTCTGAATTTAGAGACGAAATGTAAAGTTGTGAAACCAGAACAGCTTAGGCTTGATGTCTGGATTTGTAATGAACTAACCGAGAAACCTGTTGAAGCATGTTCTACAAAGGAGAAGGAACAAGCCCAACTCGTGATAGAAGATCGAAGACACTACGATGGGCTAAAGCTTAATTGGAACAGCCCATGGGCTGATTATGGAGCCTATGTTGACTTCTAGAAAGGTCGGAGACATTGGACACATACTGAAATCAAGGGAAGAATTCTCCCTTCCCGTATCTCCGTGTGTCAATCAAGCTCTTGCCTCTTTTATGAGATTTTCCTGTTCTACTAAGGTTTCTATTTTTCTATTTATGTATACGTATTCTTCATTAATAATACACTGAATCAAGGGAGATACAATCTCCATGTTTTCTTCTCTGATTCTTTGAAACTCTCAAAGTCATCTTCTTCAAATTCATACATAAGGATCTGTTTTCCTTTAAAACCCACACAACATACACAAGAAAAATGCCATTATGCATGGGTCGACACCGACCCACGATTTGTATTCATGCAATAAATGCCCCAACATAATTTCTTTGCTTTTAAAAAGTCCAAATTAACGTCTAGATGAGTTTATATATAGCATTCCTTATTCATTCTTCTTAATATTCATATGAATCTTCTATCGTGTCTCATTTGGAAATCGGATAGTTCGAGAGTTGCTTTTTTAGTTATTATTATCTTTTCTTTTTTGTATAATATATTTACTATTTACAGAGTTGTTAAGATTTGTCTGTGCGATAGCAAATATATACACAGAGTTTAAATATTATAAAAAATAGTTTTTTTTTTCTAATTTAAAACTAAATCATTCAAATTCCATATACTAGATTTTTGGATATTTTGAGTGTCGAATATTCGTTCAAAATCCCTACTAGATTTGTAATGTCTTTAGTTCCATCCGTAGTTAATTTTTTTTTTTTTAATTTCCTAATAAAGATATTGAATGACACCAGCTTGGAAGCAAACGATAGTGTGGGAAAATGTTATTACTTGTATACAAAAGTATGCTTTACATGAGTGATATATACACATATGAGACGAGATGATTATGGTAATAATATAGCAAATATTGAGGAGAGAATTGATACAAATAATAATAGCAAGATATTCTCTTGATCTCCTTCCTTTATGCCCCCGCAACATGAGACTCGTGTGCGAGATCAATCTTGACCTGTAGGAGATCAAACCGAGCTCGTGATAGTGGCTTTATAAAAGCGTATGCTAGCTGGTCAAGAGAGAAAACGTGAGAGACTCCGAGAAGACCATCTCGAACAAGTCCTCGAATGAAGTGATAATCGATAGCGATGTGCTTCATGCGAGAATGGAAGATAGGAATAGCACACAAGTACGTTGCACCAACATTATCACAGTAGATAACCGGCGGTGATGTATGTACAGTGCCAAGCTCCGAGAAGATAGACATTGGCCAACGAAGTTCAAATGCAGTAGAGGCAATAGATTTGTACTCGGATTCAGTGGAAGATCGGGCCGTCGTTCGTTGTTTCTTCGAAGACCAAGAGATAGGATGGCTGCCAAGATAGATAATGTGAGTACTCGTGGAGGTGAAATCATCCCGATTACCTCCCCAATCGACATCGGAGAAGGCATGAAGATCGGCGGAATTCCGAGAGGACATGAAGATGCCGAGAGAAGAGGATCCAATGAGATAGCGCAAAAACGTTTGACCCCTTGCCAATGATCTGTTGTTGGATTGTGCATGAATTGCGAGAGCTTGTTAACTGCAAAGGCGATGTCAGGACGTGTGAAATGAAGGTATTGCAAGCTTCCAAACCACGTTGCGATATTCCGAGGGATCATCGTGCGGAGTGCCCGACGTCAACATGAGAGATGTCGTAGATGACATCGATGTAGAAACGGGCTTCGCATTGAACATGTTTGTTCTCTTGAGAAGGTCGAGAATGTACCAACGTTGAGTGAGATAGATGTCGATGGAGGAGTGCGTGACCTCGACGCCGAGAAAGAATGAGAAACGACCGAGATCTTTGAGAGAGAATCGGGAGGAGAGCATGGTGATGATAGATTGGCAGCGGGCTGCATTGCTTCCAATGATGACAATGTCATCAACGTAGACGAGAAGGTAGATGGTGGCATCGGCTTCCCGAAGAGTGAACAGCGATGTGTCGGCCAAAGAGTTGTTAAAACCCATACCAACAAGGAAGTCTCGAAGCTCCGTGTACCAAGCTCTCGGAGCTTGTTTAAGACCATAAAGAGCTTTGCGTAGCTTACAAACATGAGACGACCGATCACGATTCACAAAGCCGGGGGTTGAGTCATGTAGACATCGTCTATGAGTCGTCCTTGCAGAAAGACATTGTTCACATCTAGTTGCCGAAGAGACCAACCATGAGTCTCTACAATGTTGAGAATGAGTCGAACTGTTGTTGGCTTAAGCACCAGACTAAAAGTGTCGTGATAGTCGATCCCAGGGCGTTGATGGAAGCCATTTGCAATAAGTCTAGCCTTGCACCTGTCAAAAGAACCATCAACATATCGCTTAGTTCGGAAAACTCATTTACGTCCGACAATATTATATGAGGCATTCATCGGAACCAAATCCCAAGTCCCACTTTTCACAAAGACATCGAAATATTCAATTATTCAATTATGGCCTGTCTCTACTGTGGTGATTTGAGAGCTTGGAAAAAACACGTGGGTTCGGATTCTATAGGAGGTTTTGAGGCTAGAATGTTTGCAAATTTGGTGTTGGGTTTTGTGATTTGATTCTTTGATCTTGTTGTCATCGGGTGAAGGCTCCTTTAGGAAGGATGTTAATGGACATTAGCATGCATGGATATCCAACATGCCCAAGTCTACTATGAGTCTTCATGAAAGCTCGATTGAAGAGATGATATAAGCATTACGTTATCTATTACAAATTTTCATCTTCTTCCGATCAATATCATAATTGTAAAAAAAATGGTGTCTACAAGATTAAATAAAAAAAAAAAAAATCTAAACTACGTTTTGAGATTCAAATATCTCATCTTTCTAAGTTAGAAAAAAAACACTCCATGATATCTCGAGTAAAAAAATGAAGGGTAATCAACAATCTTTCAAAAAAAAAAATAACATACAAATATTTAAATTTTTACAAAAATCTCAAACAAATGCCAAAACTATAAAACTTCTATATAAATATATGAACTTTTCAAAAATCATATAGAAATATTTATATTTTAATTTTTTTAAATAAAATTTAAATCTGTTAACGATGTTGATTATTTTTATTTAGAAAATACATGAATTGTGGATTTATACTAGAAACTTTAAAAAGTTTAAGAATTTATATATAGTTTTTAAAAGATTAAGTTATTTATATGAAAGTTTTATAATTTAGATATTTATATGTGATTTTTTATAAAAATTTAGATATTTTGAAAAATATGTAGATTTCTACAATTTAGCTGAATTTAGAACATAATTGAATCGTTTTATAATAATAACGAACAAAAAAAGATTAAAAAAACTAAAAAGAAAAAAAGGTATGTATAAGAAATGTAGACAATGTTCATTTTTTATTGTATATTTTTATAAATATTTTTTTTAATATACATATATTGTTTTTTTTGGAGAAGATTAACTATAGGGATTTAATAGATAATAATTGATATATTTATGTTAATTTGATACATTAATATTTTTAAATTTTATTATTGTTCATAATAAATTTATATTTAAATATTATAAATTAAAAAAATATTATTTTTTATAAAATGATTAAAATTTACATCTTTCATAGTTTTCCAAAAAAAAAACTTTAGATGATTCTACCATTAAAGTTGCCTCCTAACCAACTCATACTAAAGGTTAGGAGAATCACATGTGATTAGATGAAGAACTTAAAGTTAATTACTAATGAAGCTGTTAAGGATGATATTAAACATGAAAAACAGAAGAATTTTATGTTAGATTAAGCTCTAGGTAAGAATAAATTAATCAAGAAGAACCTAGAATGATCTAAAGATGGGACTTTGTTTTATAATCCGGGAGTTTACCGCGTTTACGTTTACGACACAACTACATCTATTAAGACACACACAATGTATATCTGTATTTCTTTAGTATCATTATGTATTCACAAAAAGCCAAAAATCAAATATCGACCAAGAAAATAGAAACATGATTCTAACCATGACTAAAGAAACAAAAGAAACAATTAAAGAAAGAAAAAGAATTCTAGAATGTGTTTCGGAGAGAAGTAAAGATTTAGGGATAGTTAGCGGATACTTGTTAATTATTGGCTAACTGTTACCAAATTCAGTACATGCACGATAACAACAAGAAGACGGCCCCTTTCTTTTCGTATATTATAACCCTGCGAGATCAGTACTGCATCATACACATTCTCCCATGGAGTTCCTCGTGTTGGCATGTCTGTCGCTTCTTTCTTACGCCACCTTCTGCCTCTTGAAATCGCTTCTCGACAGGAGAAACCGGTCGTGTTTCATGCTTCACTACGGCTGCTACAATGGGAAACATGAGACAAAGCTCGACAACAAAACGCTTATGCAGGTGTTGAGCCGGAACAAGGACCTGGATCTTGAAGATTACCGGTTTCTTGTCAGGACTATGGTTAATTCAGGTCTCGGGGAGGAAACTTACGGCCCAAGAAACTTCGTTGAAAGAGAGGAGCGCCCGACGCTGCACGATGCACACTCCGAGATGGACAAGATATTGTTCGACTTACTAGACAATCTCTTCGCGAAGACGGGCATTTCTCCTTCAGAAATCGACATTCTCATCGTGAATGTCTCCTTGTTTGCACCAGTCCCGTCCCTGGCTTCTCGGGTTATAAGCAGGTACAAGATGAGGGAGGACATCAAATCCTACAATCTCTCGGGATTAGGCTGTGCAGCGAGTTCTATAGCGATAGATCTTGCCCAACGCATGTTCAAGATGTACAAAAACGCGACAGCTATCGTTTTAAGCACGGAATCCATTGGACCAAACATTTACTACGGCAAAAACAGATCAATGATTCTTCCCAATTGCTTCTTCCGAGTAGGAGGGAGCTCGTTTCTATTAACAAACAATGCCAAGATGAAGAACAGAGCGATCATGAAGCTCAAAAACGTGGTCCGCACCCATATTGGATCAGACGACGAAGCTTACGCATGTTGCATGCAGATGGAAGACGCAGAAGGTCTCCGAGGAGTACAACAAACCAAACACCTGAAAAATGCGGGGGTTAGGGCACTGAACAAAAACCTTAAAGTCCTGCTTCCAAAGGTATTGCCCATGAAGGAACTATTTCGTTATGTGATAGTCCGCTCGTTGGGAAAGAAAACGAAAGGCGAAACACCCGGCGGGCTAGGGCTAAACCTGAAAACCGGGTTAAAGCATTTTTGCATACAGCCGACAACTAGGGCAAACATTGAAGCCATAGGGAAAAGTTTAGGACTTAACGAATACGACATCGAGCCGTCGAGAGTTGCGCTTCACAGGTTCGGAAACACGTCTTCTTGCGGAGTTTGGTACGTTTTCGGGTACATGGAGGCAAAGAAGAGGCTAAAGAAAGGCGACAAGGTTCTGGTAATGGGATTAAGTGCGGGGGTTGAGTCTGTCAATTCAGTTTGGGAGATTATGAAGGATATAGACGAGGAAAACGTGTGGAGTGATTCGGCCGAACATTATCCCGAGATGTTGGTGAGTCCAAATCTTTTCGAGCTGAACTACGGTTGGATCAACGACCAAACACTGAGCTTGTCCCAAGCGGTTAAAGCAATTGAAACTCAAAACACTATTAAGATGGGTAAGATGCTCGATTGATGCAGCAAGAGCTCTATTTATCTTCTATACACATGTACTCCATCCGAGATCGTCTACTTACTTATTTTACCACTAAATAAATTTGATTTACGGTAGACATTGTGAGGCATAGTAATATAATAGACCTAATTAAGGTATTGTATAACCGTACATTGTTGTTAATGTTTCTCTTCGGAGTTTGAGGATAAAGAAATTGTAAAAAATAATAATTAAATGTAAAGATGGATATATTGAAATACGAAAATGAATATGTTATTGAAAAAAATATAGATTTTGTGATATTATTGAAAATAATAATAAACACAATATTATATTAAATATTGTGTATCATATTTGTTTTGGTTATATCTATATATTTTTTTAATTAATTTTTCTATAAATATATGGAGTTTAATAAAATAAAAAGAAGAGAAGTACTAATAAAAATATTCTTGTTTTTTTTGTGTTATTTATTTCTTATTAAATTTTTATAATTTTATGTTTTCGAGGGATGCCCAAAGTAATTATTTTGCACAGGACACCACACTTCATGGGTCGTATATAATTTCAAAATATATATATATATAAATATTATTTTTTTACTTTTCAGATTTAATTATTGTTAATTTTGAAGCTCTACAATTTCTTTTCACTTCCTTCCATAAACGCGTGATTATATATCTTCAGTTTACATTGAAAATATTAGTTGATGGTTAAATATGTGTAGAAATTTGTGTGATTTGGTGTTGGTAGTGAGAAAATAATATAAACGACCAAGAGAATAGATGAAATAAAGAATTATTTTATTTCATAATATTTTACACTAGCAAAAATAGATAATATATAGTAATATTATATAACGACCAAGAAGAATAAAAATCAAACGGTTATAGAGAGATTTGGTAAAATCTTGATCATAATTTGGTTGTTAATTGATTGACAATTAAGTCTTGTTTCTATTTTTTCATCCTTCAATATTTGTACATATAATCCGTTCTTTCCATGTCTCACTTGTGCCATGTCTTCATTTATGGAAGATTTGTTGCAATTCTTTTGACAAAATATGCCCATCATAATATTTTCTCCAACATTATCGTTGATTTAACTTAAATTTCTATATAAATTTTTAAAAAAATGTCAACTCAAGTGTGACGTGTTTGAGAGAAACCATATCGCGAAAGATAGTACAGGAATTATCCATAAGAGTCACTAAGATATATATATATATATATATAAATTTTCATGTTCATATCCTCATTTGCAACTATATCCTTGTTCTACTATTAAATGGATTTCCAAGATTCTTTCGGAAGATTATTATTTATGATTTCTGAATTTTGAGATGAAATATAAAGTTGTGAAACCAGAACAGCTTAGGCTTGATGTCTTGTCTGGATTTGTAATGAACTAACCGTGAAACCCACACAAGAAAAATGTCATATTATACAAGATACATGCATGCAATAAATGCCCTAACACAATTAATTTCTTGGCTTAAGTTGGTTAGACTTTGTAGTATTATTTCTTGTTCATTTTTCTCAATATTCACATGAATTTGGAAACATGTAAACCAGAAAGAAGTTTTTCGTTAGATACAATTCTACAAGATATAAAACCAAAAAAAAAAAAAAAAAATTCAAAAAA